ATTCCCCATATTCAAAATGTGTTTAATTCAGACGCCCATACACTCATTTCACTGTTAATTTAAGTAATCTGATGTGAAGAATAAGAACTCCTGGAATGATATGACATAAAAACCTATGGTTTAGAAGAAGGTAACACAATGAGCAGGCGATGACAGCTATTTTAGGTAGTGGCCTACACGTACAGGACTAAAGTTCCCCCCACCCCCCGACCGGTCACATATGACGGGTTGTCTCCCTTCTGACATGCCGAAAATGGGGTACGCGGTTCTTCATCAGAAACAGAAAGTAGTTTCAACCCGAGATGAACTATCGTGACTTCTGAAGCTTTCAATAATAGTTTAACTGAGATTCCCCCCCACATTGTAATTTTATGATGAAAAAATAGTAAAGATACTAGTTCACAGCTTCAGACTAGTCGGAGTTATAAGTGGAAAACAGACTCCCGACTTCCTTTCCCGTCTTTCATCTACTTTCTCTTCCAATCCCCCTTTACTTTTGTGATAAAGTTGATTTAGACAAAAAATATATCTACCATATTATTATTTTGTAAATTTATCTCTGTGTTCATAGTACGTCACGTGATGTAAATGTAATTCCTATGCTGTATACGTGGAGAACTTTCATCCATTTGTCTGTTTCAACAATAAAATATGTTTTAATCAATGGGTGGTAAACAGAAATTATAAGTTTCTTCAGGACCGATAATTTTGCAGCTAACTTTTTATATTGCTATTTGAGAGTTAAAGGTAATGTTAAGTTTGAACATTTCCCTATAGTCTTTGTTTTACACCACTGTCACAACACTGATTTAACGTTTCCCTATAGTCTTTGTTTTGCACCACTGTCACAATATTGATTTAACGTTTCCCTATAGTCTTTGTTTTGCACCACTGTCACAATATTGATTTAACGTTTCCCTATAGTCTTTGTTTTGCACCACTGTCACAATATTGATTTAACGTTTCCCTATAGTCTTTGTTTTACACCACTGCCACAACACTGATTTAACGTTTCCCTATAGTCTTTGTTTTGCACCACTGTCACAACACTGATTTAACGTTTCACTATAGTCTTTGTTTTACACCACTGTCACAACAAGTTTCTTCAGGACCGATAATTTTGCAGCTAACTTTTTATATTGCTATTTGAGAGTTAAAGGTAATGTTAAGTTTGAACATTTCCCTATAGTCTTTGTTTTACACCACTGTCACAATACTGATTTAACGTTTCCCTATAGTCTTTGTTTTGCACCACTGTCACAATATTGATTTAACGTTTCCCTATAGTCTTTGTTTTGCACCACTGTCACAATATTGATTTAACGTTTCCCTATAGTCTTTGTTTTGCACCACTGTCACAATATTGATTTAACGTTTCCCTATAGTCTTTGTTTTGCACCACTGTCACAACACTAATTTAACGTTTCCCTGTAGTCTATGTTTTACACCACTGTCACAACCCTGATTTAACGTTTCCCTATAGTCTTTGTTTAACACCACTGTCACAACTCTGATTTAACGTTTCCCTGTAGTCTATGTTTTACACCACTGTCACAACCCTGATTTAACGTTTCCCTATAGTCTTTGTTTAACACCACTGTCACAACACTAATTTAACGTTTCCCTGTAGTCTATGTTTTACACCACTGTCACAACCCTGATTTAACGTTTCCCTATAGTCTTTGTTTTGCACCACTGTCACAATATTGATTTAACGTTTCCCTATAGTCTTTGTTTTACACCACTGTCACAATACTGATTTAACGTTTCCCTATAGTCTTTGTTTAACACCACTGTCACAACTCTGATTTAACGTTTCCCTGTAGTCTATGTTTTACACCACTGTCACAACCCTGATTTAACGTTTCCCTATAGTCTTTGTTTAACACCACTGTCACAACACTAATTTAACGTTTCCCTGTAGTCTATGTTTTACACCACTGTCACAACCCTGATTTAACGTTTCCCTATAGTCTTTGTTTTGCACCACTGTCACAATATTGATTTAACGTTTCCCTATAGTCTTTGTTTTGCACCACTGTCACAATACTGATTTAACGTTTCCCTATAGCCACTGTCACAACACTGATTTAACGTTTCCCTATAGTCTTTGTTTAACACCACTGTCACAACACTGATTTAACGTTTCCCTATTGTCTTTGTTTTACACCACTGTCACAACACTGATTTAACGTTTCCCTATTGTCTTTGTTTTACACCACTGTCACAACACTGATTTAACGTTTCCCTATTGTCTTTGTTTTACACCACTGTCACAACACTGATTTAACGTTTCCCTATTGTCTTTGTTTTACACCACTGTCACAACACTGATTTAACGTTTCCCTATTGTCTTTGTTTTACACCACTGTCACAACACTGATTTAACGTTTCCCTATTGTCTTTGTTTTACACCACTGTCACAACACTGATTTAACGTTTCCCTATTGTCTTTGTTTTACACCACTGTCACAACACTGATTTAACGTTTCCCTATTGTCTTTGTTTTACACCACTGTCACAACACTGATTTAACGTTTCCCTATTGTCTTTGTTTTACACCACTGTCACAACACTGATTTAACGTTTCCCTATTGTCTTTGTTTTACACCACTGTCACAACACTGATTTAACGTTTCCCTATTGTCTTTGTTTTACACCACTGTCACAACACTGATTTAACGTTTCCCTATTGTCTTTGTTTTACACCACTGTCACAACACTGATTTAACGTTTCCCTATTGTCTTTGTTTTACACCACTGTCACAACACTGATTTAACGTTTCCCTATTGTCTTTGTTTTACACCACTGTCACAACACTGATTTAACGTTTCCCTATAGTCTTTGTTTTACACCACTGTCACAACACTGACTTAACGTTTCCCTATAGTCTTTGTTTTACACCACTGTCACAACACTGATTAACGTTTTCATTAACTATTTTAATAATGATTTTTAACTCTAGAAGACATCTAACTGGTTACATTGTAAACTTAAGTCTGTTTTTTTCTGTGTCTTCCTTCTTTTTTCTGGTCGGGTAATTTGCAGATTGTAATGTGAAATGTTTTTTTGAAAATTGTATCATAGTCTGTGTATTGTTTTGATTTTAATTACATGTATAAAACAAAATATACAGATAATAGTTATAACAACACTGAATGAAATGTAATGTCTGTTTTATTTTGTCACAATCTTTTGCATGGAGACTTTCTGACAGTGTATAGGTTCGTAAAGTTACATATCCAAAATTTGTACCAACATGCCAAGTGACCAGAATCGACAATCGTCAACAATGGCCTCCTCTATCACGGCTGTTCTGAAGATTTTTTGTACCAACTGCCAAGTGACCAGACTCGACAATCGACTACAATGGCTTCCTCTATCACGGCTGTTCTGAAGGTTTATTGTACCAACATGCCAAGTGATCAGACTAGACAATCGACTACGATGGCTTCCTCTATCACGGCTGTTCTGAAGATTTATTGTACCAACTGCCAATTGCAAGTGACCAGAATCGACAATCGACTACAATGGCTTCCTCTATCACGGCTGTTCTGAAGGTTTATTGTACAAACATGCCAAGTGACCAGAATCGACAATCTTCTACAATGGCTTCCTCTATCACGGCTGTTCTGAAGGTTTATCGTACCAACATGCCAAGTGACCAGAATCGACAATCGTCTACGATGACTTCCTCTATCACGGCTGTTCTGAAGGTTTATTGTACCAACATGCCAAGTGATCAGACTAGACAATCGACTACGATGGCTTCCTCTATCACGCCTGGATGTGTTTTGAAGACTTATTTATGAAAAGCGGTTTCTTGCTCCTGATGCTTGCAGTAGATATATGCTGTACCTTTGTGTGATTTGATCAANTTTCCCCCCCCCCCCCCCCCCCCCCAGTGCTATTTTTCTAACGGAAGTGTCTTATCCGATTTCTACCTAACATTACTAGATCATGTGCAATTTTTAACTTCACGAAAAATAACAGTGTGTCGTCCTTTGTTTCATTTGGTGTATCGTTTACTACACAGTGAGGGTCTCTAGACAATAATTTTCACTATGGTAGCCCTTAATGGCCAAGGTTATTAATTAAAAAAACTTGAGAGTTCTATGACCGTAACTTCTGGAACTTTTTTTTGTGAATTTGAAAGTGGGTCAAGATCGTTTATTTGAACAAACCATATAGATCTTCAGCATATCAAGCTCCAGGCCATATATCAAGACACTGGAACTCTTGAATATTTTAGTAAGTTGCTAATGGTTCTGGTTGATTCCTGTGATGCTTAAAGCTGGTCAATGTAAATAATCTAACAACTTGATAGCACTTCACCCATGTATCCTAATGGCCAAATATGATTGCCCATTGCTCTTGTTGTGGGGAGCTAAAAATGTAGTTTATTACCAGGCAGACATTTTTAAGGTTAAGTTACCACCCATCAGTTATAATCACAAGGAAGAGTTCCACTACAGATTCTGTTTGGAGTAATCTCCCTTGTATATAGAGGATGAGGCAACCAACAGAGTTTCTCTGACTTAGAGTCTCACCCCCTGTCAAGTTTTCTATTGCTTTGATGCCTATAAACTGGACACTCACTTTGATGATGTGTTTGTAGAATTCCTGCCACAACAGTATGTGTAGGCTTTGTAATTTAAACGTCTGGAGTTCCACCCCTGCAGGTTAATATTTTTCTTCTTGGAAAATTCAAATTTGGAATTTGAATTTGAAAATGCATGGCAACATGTTCTTTTAAGGAATTTGAAAATTGCAAATGACCTGAATTTTTGTCACACTTGTGACGATTGTACTAGTGTAGTTTTATGTGTTGCTACCCTTCACCAACACGTTGTATTTGATTCACCAACACGTTGTTTTTGATTCACCAACACGTTGTTTTTTATTCACCAACACGTTGTATTTGATTCACCAACACATTGTATTTGATTCACCAACACGTTGTATTTGATGTTCCAATAGACAAAAGACAACGATTCCATATCTGTACGACCAGTTCTGACTGGGTTTTATTGTAAAATGACAAAAAATGTATATAGATATATAAATTTCATAATGAGACAGGCAATCACAAATCTTCTATAAATAATCATACATCTCTCATGCTATATATTAAACACACTTTGTCTGCCAGAGGAGATCACAGTTTCAGCTGCTAGGGGAATGGATTTCACAATACGTCTCTCCCTTACTCTCCACAACATCTTATCAAAGTGTCAATGATAAGTTGTGTCCGTATATATAACACAGTTTGATAGAGTCGTCATCTTTTACTCATCATCTAGACATTTCGATGTGTTATTAATTGATTACAAAGCACACACTTACTAGGGACTGTAGTTCAAGCTTGAATCTTGTCAAGCACTTATAATTGATTATTTGTAGACAGACTAAAGAATAATAGGGAGAGATCACCACCTTCCCATCATAACACAATAAATACCAGACTAAATAACCTAGAGTTGCCATAGTAACATTGATCAACACTCAGTGACCTTGATCAACATTCAGTGACCTTGATCAACACTCAGTGACCTTGATCAACACTCAGTGACCTTGATCAACATCCATTGACCTTGGTCAACATGAAGTGACCTTATTTAAGGTGTGACCTAGAGCTACAGAATGACCTAGACTTAGCAAAGTAACCTTATTCAAAGTAATGTGACCTTGGTTAACATTATGTGGTCTAGTTTTACACAAAGTGATTGACTGTGTGACCTGGATCTGTAAAATATAACCTTGATCAACATTTGTGACCTTGACATCTAAATCTTCATACGTAACAAAATAAATGCTACTGACATTAATATCGTAGTAAAATGTGATTAAAACTCAAAAGTACAATATTCAGTAAAGTGTTATCACAGACCAATGAATGATGGACGCTAGTTTGGGCCCAACGCACCTTTACACAACTACACAGACTATAGACTTACGGTGCTGTAAGGGACGACGATGACATGAAAACAATACAGAGGGAAACCCTATAATTAAATAATAACTTCATAAATTACTTCAAAAGAAACCATAAAAAATGAATGTGATTTTAAAATATATTTGATCGACAATCAATTATAGTGCTGCTTTTAAAAATCTAAGAACAGAAATATACCGACTCTAGCACGGTATCAATGCTATCGCGGAGTTATTACCTAGGTCAGACATCCTTAGGCGGCCGCCTACAATACTGGCAATATACACTGTGTTAGTCTCACACATTCCTCTAATGATTCATCAATCACAAAACACATGGAATACAAAATATTTCTTATTCTACGATATAGCTTTAAGGCTTTACATTGATTTGTACAAACATTTTGGGACATGATTTAAAAAAACATCGTGAAAAATTGATATAATTTAATAAGATACCGGTAGTATGATGTCTGTTATACTTATCTAGCATGCTTTTATGAATTATTCAATTGTAACAAGTAGGCCAAACCTATCACACTTTGGCTCCGTACACATTATGGCCTACAGTGTGTTATACAATAAATACAACAACTGGTCCCTCATCAGATCTAACATTGACTAAGAGTAGAGGTAAAAATAAAATATACATGAAACTAAAACAGGAGTGTAAGCTCACATTCACTAGACCACACTTCAATGGACGGACAGTGGCAGATCTGTGGTAAAAATAAAAAAACATCTTTTTTACAGTTGAAAGATTTCTGGCAAAATGTTGACCTTAATTGACAATATGATTGACTTCCTAGTTCCAAGAGTCCCACACTTCTGTCGATGGAGGATCCGGTGTCTGCTAGGTGAGTATCAAACAACACTGCCATCCTCACATCACAGTGTTAACGCGTCCTCCTTACACAGCCTTTATAAGTTAGTGGAGATGGTAGCTGACTTCAGTATTATGTGGGGATGGCCCGTGCATTGCCTAGCTGACCGGAGAGATTGCGGACCTTGTCAGACCAGTACTCACTGCTTTGCTGTAGCTGAATGGAAAGCTGTGGAAAAAGATACACAAGGTCAGAGGTCAGAATTTCTAAGCCAATGTAGTACTACTGCTGTTTTACTTCAGGTCTCTGTGCACAGGTACTTAAACCAGAGTTGTCTACCTTGCCATACTGATAATTTGAATTTTATATTCCCAAACACACAGAGAATCACAGTTACCTCCCTTAATGTAATCCCTGAGTTATCTACACCAACATAGAGATATTAATCCAAGAACTATCTACCTTGAAAAAACAGACAATCCTTATTTTGAGTATTGCCATGTATTCTGGTACCATGCATATTTATAATCAAGTAATCAATTATTTTTATTTTTATTTTCTTCACTTTAAATCAGCATCCGGAGATATTAAATCTGAACATCTACTTGCAGTAAATTTTTCGGATCAGAATACGGTTATAAAGAGAAGAATTTTGCAGAATGATGTTTAAGTTGAAAGCAGTTCCACTGTGCTTATCAACATATTGGATTATATCTACTAAAAGCATACTGGAAATTTTGTGCATTTTCCCAACACCAAATATAAAGAGATTTGTGAAGTAAACGGGTACAGCATTCTAATGCTTATTGAATCATGCTTTATTCCTCAATACACAATCACTGTTTAACAAAGAATGTTATCATTTTATTTTATTACATTAGAAATCAGCATAAACACAAACTGTTAAACATTAGTTACAAAGTTAAAAAATATCTCACAACTCAAAACATTACTCAGTCACTTTAAATCATGAAAATATGACACAAAGAAAGCCTGATGTTTTTTGTTTTTTTTTCAAATTAAAAATAAAAGTCATTAACTTAACAAAACAATTCACAGCAAACAGATGCCATCAGTTTATTTAGAAGTAAAGCAACTATCTGCATTATGATTTTCACTGCTAATGCATTCCACACTAAAACTACATGGAGAAAAACCAACCTAGTATGTGGCGGGGTACTGCTGTGACAAAGAAACAAAAGTCAGAGTGCATTAGTCTATGTCAAACGACAATGTCTAGTTGGACAGTCAGTACATCACATGATAGCTTTTAGGAAAGCTAGGCTATACGATAACTACACTTGTTTCATTTGGTATAGTTCTCTGCCTTGCTTGACTATGGGATCTTTTTTTGGCCGCCTTGAAACTAGCAAGATGACAAGAGTTGTGCCCCTTCTTGTACGGGGCACTGTAAATTCTACTTTAATTTCATTGTTGTTTGCCAAATGGCTTCATGACTTGTACAGGAAGCGCAGATTGCTTTACAGAGGCACAACAGAGTATAATAACTAAACAGGCCACCATGATTTAGTGGTGATAGAAGTGGATGAATTGAACGGTGTTTTGGCAGATTTCTACGCCAATATAAGGAACAAAGAGCTTAAGAAGGGGAAAATAGTTCTCTTATTGCGATCATAATTACAGGGTCATCTACAGGATTCTTCTTGGGACAGATATTTTGTCTTTCAATTGTCATATGACAGTCATGTGATGTACTAAATCTATAATGTCCTTTTCCTTTAAGAACAGTTCTCTTCTAGTGTTGTCTGTGTATTCTCTATAGTGTCCTCGCCTAACACCACTTCATATACCTCCCCAGACAACACTACCAGAGAACAGTTCCCTTCTAGTGTTGTCTGGGTATTCTCTATAGTGGCCTCGCCTAACACCACTACATATACCGGTCCCTCCCCAGACCACTCTACCAGTGTCCTCACCTAACACCACTACATATACATCCCCAGACAACACTACCAGAGAACAGCTCCCTTCTAGTGTTGTCTGGGTATTCACTATAGTGTCCTCGCCTAACACCACATCATATACCTCCCCAGACAACACCACCAGAGAACAGTTCCCTTCTAGTTTTGTGTGGGTATTCTCTATAGTGTCCTCGCTTAACACCACTACATATACCGGTACCTCCCCAGACAACACTACCAGAGAACAGTTCCCTGAGGAAAGAGCCAAAGTAGACAACACAACATATAAATTATACAGGGCTATATATATACCAACAGAACAGGATTTAGATATATAACCTACAACACACAGGGTCTATAAACCAACATTATACAGGGTCTATAAACCAACATAATACAGGGTCTATAAACCAACATAATACAGGGTCTATAAATATAAACCAACATAATACAGGGTCTAATATCTTCTCCAGAATAGCCCCCACCCCATGAAAGAAATAATTCATATTAACAGGTAGATATCAACATGTATAGACCAGAAGAACATGTTTTAAGACAGGTCTCCATTCACTTGAAGCAATGACATGTTTTTTTAAGATGATTATTTTTTTCCTTGGAAACCTTCTCTAGTATGTAAATGTTGTTAATTTGCTGGCCTTAGATATTTACAATTGAAGAGACAATGTGACATTGTTAGTGTGACACTGGGAACACTATCTAGTCCTTAGATAGGCTGGCAGTGTATTATTTCTTTAGAGGGATGAGTCAGAAACTGACAAATTGTAATATCCAACATTCGCAATTATCTTTCTGTTTCAAATGCTTTTTCTGACTTTGCTAAAATGTATGGCTTGAACTTGTGAAAACCTTTATAAATCTGACGGGAAAGCACCTTGGCAGAAGAGTGAACACAGGTGTTGGACCTACAGAGACATACCCAGTATATATATAATATACCATATTTGTCTGAAAATAATCCCATGTCTTGTAATAAGCCCGTCCACATCAATTACTGTTCAGTAGAACTAGAAAACATGTTACTTCCTGTCCTGTAGTAAGCCTAGCCCCCTACATACTGAGTCAGAGATTAAGTGTTTGCCCAATGGGATTATTGCAGGATAAATACCGTACTATATTATAGTTATAAGATAGAATATGTCTGTGTGTCCAGGACTTGTGACTATGACAGGGTGTATACAGAGGAACTCGAGTACTAGCCAAGCCTTACCTCGCCGACTCGCTGTATCCAGTAGTTCTTGTCCAGGTCCTGTGGATTGGAGATACCAGCATCATCCAGTCCTTTACCGTAGGCCTTACGCTGTGGAGGGTAGAAACGATACAATTGATATACATATCATCCAGCCTTGCACTGTGGAGGGTAGAAACCATACAATTGATATACATATCATCCAGCCTTACACTGCGAAGGGTAGAAACGATACAATTGATATACATATCATCCAGCCTTACGCTGTGGAGGGTAGATTCAGGACAGATTACCGTACAAAATACTGCTGTTTTTGATATAAAGACACTTGCAATGGGTTGAATTCTACATAATCTGTTATGATTTGATGTGATGTGGTTACTGAACAGGGAAATAGTGACATGGTAACATTATACACATACATTGTACAACTATACAGTTGTTTCAGTAAATATTAACACTCTCTGATCAAGGGGGTTTTCAGATGTGTCTAAATAGTTTTAAAAGAAAACTGGCAGACTGTGGAATGAGAGGTTGGTTTGTCCTAAATCTTCATTTACCACTGACAGACTTTATCACCCATTGAAGAGATAACTGGAATGACAACCATGGTTTTACTGGTGACAGGGGCAGACAACTGTTGTAAGTCAGGTGGTAAGATAGGCAGAGAACTTAGACACATGTGGAGAAAAAGACATAAGGAAACAAACGTACAGGGAATACTGAACAATCACATGTGGGGGAAACATACTGGACAGGAACAATGTTACGATGAGTAGAAAGAGTTTCTTCAAATTAATAGCACCGTGAAAAAGATCACAGTGGCACTGTTTACGATTGAAATATGTAGAAAATGTGATTTAACTAAACTATTAGACTAACAGAACACATTGTGATGTTGATATGTCTATACAGAGAAAATTCTAATTATTTTCTACACTACAACTAAATCTTCAAACTGGTTGTTTCTAAAAGTAGTTGTAAACTAAATACATGTTGTAAAAATATATACAATACATCACTTTTTGTTATTAAGTATAATCATTTCTTATTTCAATCAAAGAAGTGATACATGTATATATCAAAGTACTGTCTCCCCTGTTACTGAAATTCAAGTTCTTCACAATATTGTTGATCAAATTAATGCTTATTCAAGACCTGCAAAAAAAGTCAAGGTAGAATGTTTGGTGCTGTTAGTAAGGGGTCTCGAGACAGTGTTAATTCTGCTACGTTTCCATGATTAATATGTTTCTAGAACTAGAGTTACCTGCTCCTTATCCATTTGGAAATCCTTGATGTCTACTTTGTCCTGTAAAAAGTCATGTGACACACTGAAGCTAGCACGCTAGGCCTACCAGAGGCTCTGTACCATACTAATATACACTTAACCGTGACAGACATCATGCACTAGGTGAACTCAACTCCTTACTGACAATAACACTCACAAACGGTTAGGAAATACACTTAGCAAAAATTTTGATTTGATTCAGATATTTCATTTAGTTAATGTAAAATATTACAAAAATTTATCAAGAATTCCAAAAGTTAGTTTTTCTGCTTAGAGTATCAATACAATAGGGACAAATTTTAATTAGCAATTACTACAAGCAACAAACATTGATTGTGACTTACATAACACCAGCTTAAGGAAGCCTGATTGGTGTACTGTACGAGGTTAACTAGGACAAAACTATAGAAGCCATGTCGGTCTACACAATGAAGGCCCTATCACACTAAACACCTAACAGCGTAGCTGTAGGTCACAACTTACTGGTTTTTCCAGCTCCCTATAGGGGGAGCTTTGCTCTATCAACAGGTGTTTGCGGGCATCGAGCTGTGACTTAAGACTGCCAATAGTCTGCTCTTTACTTTCCACCTGTAACTCCATGGTCTGTCTGGCTGACATCTCTCGCTCAAGGTCGTTTCTAAGGCGATGGTTCTCCTTCTGTAGCGTTCCCAACTGATGGCAAAACATACAATACATGTAGTTCAAAACTAATAACTCACTAGGAAAAAATTCAAAACAAAACTTCATACATGGCTTTCAATTTTTTTTCCTTCATTTTTTAACAATTATAATTGAACTGTTTCAGGATACATCCTTGCTGAATATTTCTACCATACAATGTTTATGTATGTTAGGCTGACTGCTAGGCGTCGTGACCTTGACCTTACCTGCTGGTTTAGGAGCTGGATGTTGTCGATGTTGACCTTGAGGCGAGTGTGGAGGTCCTCTATTGTAGCAATCTTACCCTGAACCTCCTGGTCCTGGTCAGATCTGTGGGACAAACGAGGTCAGCGGTCATATCATGAAATAGGACAGATGTTATCACAGCTATCTGACAACGTTACAGTATGGCTTACAACCTTCTCTTGTACCAATAAAAGATCAGTTATTTCAATAAATAAAAACAAGTCAAATAAAGGGTTGTTGGATATTACAAGTATAACTCCCATTTCACAATCTTATCTAACAACAGAAACTGTTCTGAGAGGAAACTCCAGTTCAACTGACATGAGTGATACCAAGGTCAAGTAAAGGTCAAGTAAAGGTCAACAAGTGGCTGTGAAGAGTGCTTCAGTATAGATACGATATACATACTCGTGCTGTTCCAGTCTGTTCCTCAGCTGGTTGAGCAGCACCTGTTGGTGTGAGGAGTGGTTCTGCAGCGCCTGTGTGACACACAAAGTAAATACAACAATTCTCATAGGTTCTGCATGATTCAAACACATTCAGTTGATTTAATTATATATACTAAATAAAGTTTCCACACAATATTTACAAAATTGAGAGTAAATAACAAGTTCTAATTTAAAAGACATTTAAATCTAAGGCATCTTTAACTGTACTTCAGACTTTACATATATCACAGTCTTACTTTTATAAAAAAATCTGAAGGTTTGTCAAAAAATTACAAATTAATCAGGCTGACCTTGAATCTGTCCGAATCATCTCTCCTCTCATCTAACTCAATCTTCATTTTATTCATCTGCTTCTGTAGCTTAGCAACCTGTTCCAGTAATTGTCTGTAACAGAAGATATTATTTCCTGTACTGGCATCACCTTGTGGCTGTAAGGTCCTTGTAGTACGATCAGTGTTAAAACTCTCCATATAGATTCACTAATTGCATCTTTAAAAACAACTGTCAGTTACCTTATCTCAATTAAGTAGAAGTGACTTACTCTTTTTCTGCTGTGAGAGTCATTATAGCTTTACTTTGTTCCCTGGAAAAGAAAGGCAAAAGATGCATCACACGTAAACAAACAACAGGAAAATACAAAAAAAATATAATACAAAATATGACTGCCCTCAGAAATATGACTGCCCTCAGAGATATGACTGCCCTCAGAGATATGACTGCCCTCAGAGATATGATAAGCTGATCATAATTTTTATCATTACATTCTATGAATTCCATATTTCCATTGTTTCATGCTGTTTATAGATAAAGTATCAGAGATATGGGAAAGCTGTAAGCAAGCCTTACTTACAGCACATCACAGGATTAGCTATACCAGGCAAATATATACAAAGTATAGACAGCTTTTATGGAAATAATAGTCAGAGTTTACATATACTTTATAAGGAACTAAATTCAATATCATAATTAACACTGTGTATAATCATACTCCAGAGTATTTACTAACAATTAAAGTAAAGAGGGAAAGGGAATCCTTGTAATACAGGGAGGACGTGATGACTCCTACCAACATGCTAATCAACTCAGAGCTTTTTAATAGACTTTTTTCATTTGTTTAACAGTTTTTAAAGTCTTTTTCGTTTTAACTGCTTATCAATTGTAAATCTAATTTTGTTCTTTTTTCTATATTGAACTTTTTCTCAAAACATCAAAAACTTTTGCTGACAGAACTAGTTTGCAGTTTTTGATGCTGACCTCAATCAAGAAGAAAGTTAACCTAAACCTGTTATCAAAATTTCTTCAGTGTAATAATAATTTAATCATGAATAAGTTATAATAACTTAGTATTCCAAAAATCAAAAGTACAAAGGCTTCCCTCAGTCGAGGTTGAGGTCAGGCGGGGTTAGTAGTAGGGGGTAGTAGTAGGGGTTAGTAGTAGGGGTAGTAGCTGGGTTAGTAGTAGGGGCTAGAGCTGCACACCATACCTAATTTTGTTTCCCAGCTTTTCATTGGCAAGCCTGTAAGATAACAGAGTAACATAACAGCATGCATCAACAGTCAACACCAAAACACAAAACAAACTTCGTAATACGAAACCAGTCGTCAAAAAGTAGAGCTGAGATTATTGAACCTTTAGAAGATATAACTGTTAAAAATATATCTCATGCCCTAAAACTATACAATCACCACCTCTTCTATATTTTTGGCTGTAAAATGGTTTCAAATACATTCCAGTTATCCAGATATCATAAGTGGAACCTTGTTTTTCTGGAAACCTTTTATTAAATAATTAATACCTAATTTAACCATTTACAGATTAATGAATGAACATTTATCAGGAAATATCCTTTTAAATCTTGGAGAAAGGCAACAAAGCTTTCATGGCTGTTGGATTCAAGATTATCAATTTCCGCAACATTGTTACCTAGGTATAATGACAGACTAAGTATCTTATCTGATCTGTTCAGAGTTATACCATTCATCGATAAATAGGTTATTGTAAAATTCTTTAATCTCTTGTCATTCAGAAATCTACCAAGAGTCTTCCTATTCAATACCACAGACACCTATCATCAGTCACTGAAGTCGTCCTAAAGGATTTCTGGACTCTTTTCATGCATTTGTTTCAAAAGAAAAAGTATCAAAGTGAGTCGACCTTGCTGTAACACTCGTAATGTATTAGTAGTGTCCTAACCAGAGATGCAAAATAAAACCAAAAACTATCGACAAACATGCTCAACACATTTCCTGCAGAACAAATGCATCAAAAATGCAAAAACAAGAAGAGCAGTATTATATAATTTTGTTATTATTTCTATTTTTTTTCTATTAAATTTGTGATTCTGTATAAGGTATAAATCATAAAGTGACGACTACCAACTCAAAATCAAAACCTGTATGACTTCATTCCAGGGCACCATTAAGGCCCGGATAAATCGTTGAGGAGCAATCTAAAGCATGCTATGTGACACGTGAACCAGAACAACATCCAGGTAGTACCTCTATACCCAATACCCTCCATCACCTAGGCTATCAATGTCTGGGGGAGGAAACCACATGTACAGTGAAAATAGCAGTCTCAATTTACAATCCTTCTCATGAAATTTAAATGATCAATCAAGTAATACAATAAAAGCAACAAACGATCAACATTAATAAATGATGAAGCATCAGTTAACGACTGTATAGCATGGTTAACTTGTGCCCAAACTATATTGTAAACAAAACATCTACTTTGTTAACCCCATAGGCAATGGCCTTAAAACTACATCCCACTTGATGTTATTAATTATGTAGAAGTACAATAAACAGTTCAATTCCAACATTTAAAGTTATATAATTTAACTCTGTTAAAGTAACTTGAATGGGCTTTGATGAATTCTCAGAGGACAAACTTACTTCTGTTCCTGAACCCATGTGTTGACATTCTGTACGACAAGCTCACTCTCTCGATGAAGACGGTCACCATTAGAGCGGGACTCCTCCAGGGCGACTCTCAGTCCTTGAATCTCCTCATTAGCACTATGGTAATTGTGACGCAGCAGCTCTACCTCATTATGCAGCTTGTCAGACTAGGGGAGGTAATTCACAAAGATGTGAATATGATTGACATTTAGTTTGTTTTTCTCAATTTGAATTTTCTTTTAACACCAAATATGTTGAACAAAAACATTCCACACTTTCACAACTTTCCTATAGCTACTAAAACTGATAAATATTCTCTTGTAATCAGGCACATGATCATGTAACTTATGTTATCAAGCACATGATCATGTAACTTATGTAATCAAGCACAAAATCATGTAACTTAAAGATGTAGCCAATAAAACATCATTACCAAATAACCCTTACACCCCTTACTTCATCTATCTTTGCCTTGAACTTTTCCTGGATTGCGCTGAGCTCGACTTTGAGGACGACGGACTCCTCCTCCAACGACCCAAGGTCATGGAGGGACTGTCGGTTTTTGTCCTGTGTGTTTAACAGCTCCTGTTGTATGTCCTGGTACCGCAACTCAAAGTTCTCAAGCTGGAAACAATTAAATTGACAGTTTGAATTAAAACAGTTAAATTAGCATAAGAATACATTTTCTCCTGAGGACTTTCTGTATTTCAGATATATATACATATGAGTAACCCCGTTAAATGTGGTGACACATTTTTAACTACCTGGCTATATATAGGCAGAAATGTTGTACGAATGCAGTTAATGGCAACACTAATAAGTAAAATTGTTTGTTAAATCAGTTTTCAGGTCTGCTCAGAATCTCAATAACTCTACAAAGTTTTCGTGTTATAGTCAAGACACGATCACTTACAGAAAACCATGATTGAGTAGTCCGAGTCTGAGGTAAAATGAATAGTTATTGATTACATCGATTCATTGAAACATCATAACCTCCTAATAAAACAAGAGGCCCATGGGCCTTAACGGTCACCTGAGTCCTACAGTATTTATTTTTGTTGTTGAAATATGTACCAATTTAAGTAAAAAATAGTTAAGTATAATGTTAACTTAACTTTGTCAGGACCATGAGCTGATCATTCCTAGACCGATTTTAAATAAGATCGGCCTATTATTAATTGTTTTTAAGTTTAGAATAGGTATTTACAAAATAGCGACTGTGGTGGCCATATTGGATTTCTGATTGACCTGAAAAATAACAACACTTTGTCAGGACCATGAGTCGATCATTCCTACAAACTTTCAGTTCAATCGGCCCAGCAGAACTTGACTTTAAGTTTGAAATAGGTTTTCAAAATGGCGGCCGTGGCGGCCATATTGGATTTCTGATTGGCCTGAAAAATAACAACACTTTGTCAGGACCATGAGTCGATCATTCCTACAAACTTTCACCAGCTGTAGGTAGATCCCCCCTGCCCCCCTAGCTGAAGGTAGATCCCCCCTGCGCCCTAGCTCTAGTTAGATCACCCTGCCCTTCCTACTGGTGTGTAACACTATCCTACCTCCTCCTCTGAAGCCCTGTTAAGCTCCTGCATTTTCCTGAGTTCCTGTGTAAGCTCCCTCATCTTCTCCTCGTAAAGAGAGATCTCGTCGGACATCCCTTGGCTCTGCTGTTGTAACTTTGCCATGTCAGTCTTCAGTGCTGCCACCTGGCGGGACTTCTCACCTAGTTGATCCATTGACTCTTTGTGGTGACCTTGAACATTGGTCAGCTGGACCTTGAGGTCATGAACTTTCTGTTCATTCTCCATCAGCTGTCAAACAGAAATGTAACACAAGGTAACTACACGTTTTAATCAACACCTGTAGAATATCAATCAACAACTGTAGAATATCAATCAACACCTGTAGAATATCAATCAACACCTGTAGAATATCGATCAACACCTGTAGAATATCGATCAACACCTGTAGATTATCAATCAACACCTGTAGAATATCAGTAACAAACAACAAAAAGCATTTTTATGTTACTTTACATTTTCAATAAACATGCTAGATTTAAATGATAAGTGGTGTGAAACAGATACATACAGCAGCATGTGTCTTCCTGTACTGTTCCTGGACTCGGTCCAAATCGTTCTGAAGCTGTCCCAGTGTCTCCTCATACCTCCCAACCTGTTAAAATTTGACAGGTTTATAAGTGAGTAAGTCATTTAAAGTTTAGATTCATTGTTTACATACACAGAACAAGTGATAAGTGATCACAGTATCAGGACAATCATCACCTTCATTTACTGACTTCCTGTGAGATGTCTATGTTACTGACCCCCTGTGAGGTTGTCTAATGTTACTGACCTCCTGTGATGTGTCTATGTCACTCACCTCTTGTGAGATGTCTATGTTACTGACCTCCTGTGAGGCATCTATGTTTCTGACCTCCTGTGAGGTGTTTATGTTACTGACTTCCTGTGAGATGTCTATGTTACTAACCTCCTGTGAGGTGTCTATGTTACTGACTTCCTGTGAGGTGTCTATGTTACTGACCTCCTGTGAGGTGTCTATGTTACTGACCTCCTGTGAGGCGTCTATATTACTGACCCCCTGTGAGGTGTCTTTGTTACTGACCCCCTGTGAGATGTCTATGTTACTGACCTCCTGTGAGATGTCTATGTTACTGACCTCCTGTAAGGTGTCTATGTTACTGACCCCTGTGAGGCGTCTATGTTACTGACCCCCTGTGAGATGTCTATGTTACTGACCTCCTGTGAGTGGTGCACTATTTGTTTCTGGGCTGATTGAAGGTTGAGCTTTGCGACCCTGAGTTGTCCTTCACGTTCCACCAGCTCCTCCTTGAGAGCCATCTGTCGCTGGTGCATGGACTCAATGTCAGCACGCAGGTTAGAGGTCAGCTCATCCTTGTCCTTCACCTAAAACAGAACCATCAGCAATACAGGAACGATATAAATTAGTACATATAGAGGCCTGTCAGCTGATCATGTGGCTCTAGACTTCAGCTTTGATCCGGTTCTATTTTTAAAAATTTCACCACAAATTTGAGTATGTTTTGCTTTGTTGAACTCTACTGTATAAAAATATCAAGAGAAACAAAACATAAATTATTGACCAAATACCTTGGAATACATAAACATTATCAAAGACATTATGTATACCGTGTTGGTGAGGTCGTTGATGTGTCTTTGGGCAGAATCGAAATCGTCTTGGAGATCAGCGTTATTTTTGCGTGCCATCTGTAGGTTTTTGCCAGTCTCCTGATGTCGTTCACGCTCCCCTCGGATCTCCTGCTGCAGCTGGGTGAGGATCTGATCCTGCTGTTCTACCTGTGTAATACGTAGTTACTGTGTTAGTGAACTATTCAGGTCTTTATTCACATCTATAGCGTAAGTGAAATATTAGTTAAAATTGAAGCATGAGTGTTCATTATATTAATACAGAATTTGTGTACACAACAAATCTTAATCCTGCAAGATAAATTTGCAGTACTATCAATCATATAGTAAACCTGTATCTATACTGTACTGAGTACACCAGTAAGTAAATGAACATCCAGTGTGTTCCTGGACAACAAAACTATGTACCTGGTCACTGAGCATCTTCTCCTGTTCTCGTGCGCCCTCTAGTTCCACCTCGTATTTGTGGGCTTGCTGTTTGTAGGCGAGGCCCTCCTGTACGGCCGAGTGGTGGTCCTCCTTGGAGTTGACCAGGTCCTTCCTGAGCTTGTCAATCATGGTCTTCTGTTCCTCAATTTCCTCTTCGTAGCTTGTGTTACGCTCTCGCAGTGTTTTCACCTCCATCTGTAGTTTTCGGTTGATCTGTTCATACCTGACCACCTCCGTGACACGCTGGCTTAGTTGGTCCTGTGTGGTCTGTAGACTCTGCTCCATCAGCATCAGCTTCTCCTCGTGATGGGCCAGCTATAATTAGAGTAAAATATTTATAATATTAATTCTTCTAGGTTCTTATACACCGCTTGATCACAACCTAGTTTGTAGGTCGTTTCAAAGCGGTTCACAAATTATTATCCGTGGTTATAGGGCCTTTGCAACCAGCCAATACCTTTCTCAACTCCCTGGGGAACATACAGCCGGAGCTGTCATTTCGGCGCTAACAACTAGCATTCAACAATTCTAGCACTGCCCAACCACATACTCATTTACAGCTGAGTAGACTGGAACAAGCGGAGTAAAGTATCTTGCTCAAATTACAGAACTGACCATAGACAACAGAGACAACAAAGTGACAACACTTGTCACAAGACCATGCAGTATACTACCATTATCAGATGGCCTTGTACTAAATAGACTGTTTCTTTGTTTGAAACATGTTTTTTCATCCATAATTTCAGATAATATCACATGTGTGTACAGGAGGGGTGCGTTAAACTAATTTAATCATTTTTTTTTTTTTTTTCAATCCACAGCAATAAATTTGTTTTGTTAATAAACATATATAGAATTTGTTTTCTGTTCTACAAGTCTAATGGGTTCTGCATTAAACAGGACACATTCTAATTTGCATAAGGTATATTAGAAATGGAGTTGGAATATCAAAATTCTTCAAAAAGAAATAAAGATTTAAATTGCACAGTTATTTATAGTTTTGATAATGTGTCCTTCCAGGAGGAAGACAGTTATTCTCACAGGCCCTCGCACAAAACAGGTTCTACCATCATGTTCTCATGAAAGCTAACTTCCAAAAGTTTTTTTTTTCTGATGGGTGATATTGGTACAAGTAAGCTATAGTGCTGAGTCAGTGAACACTTTATGTAAACGTACCACAGATTGAAGTATTTGCTGAAAGGTTTTAGGGACATAAGTAACAGTATGACATAAACTCCTGATCAAACGGGACATTTAACTGAACCTCTCTGACCCTGTCCCCATCATCCACTTGTACCTGTTGACACCTTAAATCATTACTCAAATTTAATGTTCCAGCTAAACCAGCCTTGTATAGCTCCTTTGAGTCATTCTATAATTAAGTTGTTAAGCTTTCCAAGTTCCATGTTTATCTTCACTCAATCTTGAAAATACGGCTCCCATATTTTTTATTTTTTCTTCTTTTTATGCTATAAATTCCATTATAGACATTTTTCTCCTTATTAAGTACACATGCCTGTACTATGTATTTAACACAATCATGATTAAAAGTGTAAAATTAATTTAAAACTCAAACCAAAAGTTTCTACATTGTGAGATGTCCGATAACATTTCTCTACATGTTACTGAATTACAACCCTAGACATACGGTTGTCAGGGATACGGTTTGTTGTTGACCCTTGACCCTTGACATAGGCAATATCAACTCTACATAACAGCTGGTAACTATTTCTGCTACATGTTCTGCTACAGTTACTCCCCGTAACCCCAGGGACAATACACGACTCAATCTCTTACAGTAAAACCATTCCTACTGACCATTAAAAAGCTCATATCATACAGCTTCAAAGAACTGTCAGAAATGTTCAGAGGAACAGTTTCTTAAAAGGGAAAGTTTAATACAAGAAAGTGAACACTTAATAATCTTTATCAAATAAACAGAAATTTAAATTTCATCCCTAGAAAGAGAACACAAGTGTTTGCATACAGCCTTATGAAGTCTACAGAGTGGAAGAGAGCAGTTTTTAAAATTGCCTTTCACTGTGGTAGCAATAGCATTAGATGTCCACTGACTTTACAACTGCAGGGCCCTATTGATGGCCTGTACACAGTCAATCTTATGGTTGTACACATCCCATAGCACTTAATGTGTTTTCTTCCTGAACCAAATACATTACATTTAAGCTCAAGCAGGTGCTTGCTTGTAATCCAAACAACATTTGTTTTGTACATCAGTACACACAAATAGCTTTTAGAAATTCATTTTTAGCTTAAATTACATAAATTCAAAACTATTAAATCATAGGTATTTTAAACTGAAATATTAAGATAAGAACACCTGTATTAAGAATAAGCCACAGGTCTTCATAACGATACAGACTTATCTAACAATGTTCCTACCCTTCCAGTCCTGTGCTGATATGACCTCAGTCTGTCGTCTAAATCCTCCCTCCAGTAAAAATCCATATTTTCTGATTATATCAGGTGCATTTGAAATTATCAAAAGTTGAGCACAACCTTATACCGGCCATAACCGACCCCCGTATACCCAAAATAGGCCTAGTCATATAGTAGATCCCTGTACCCAGACACAGACCTAACTCAGTCTGCTACACAGTAGTGTAATGTTTCCATTACATTGTGTTTTATAAATGTCATAGATCACTAAATTTTAATATACACCTATTTCAATAGCTCCTATGTTATTCTACTTATTAATTGATAAGATATATATCATTACGGTTAAGCTAGCAGCATTCCTGTATAACAACCTCGTGTTTGGAGGATGTGTGTCTGATGGTGTAAGGTGACCCTACCACAACAGGTTCATGTGTCAACCCTTAAATAATAACCTCTAAAGTAAAACTAGATACCATTTCACAATAACAATGAATACTGATCTTTATACATCCAACACATTGAGATTCCTTCTACTGAAATGGGCAAATAATGTCCACTCAAATAATGTCTACTCAAATAATGTCTACTCAATTAATGTCTACTCAAATAATGACTACTCAAATAATGTCTACTCAAATAATAATGTCTACTCAAATAATGTCTACTCAAATAATGTCTACTCAATTAATGTCTACTCAAATAATGACTACTCAAATACCAGGGACAAATCACAACCAGTCTTACCCATGGATAGACAACATATGCAATGACCTCAAAGACAGACCACACCCATCCCTACCCAACCCCCAGGGACAAATCAAAACCAGCCTTACCCATGGTTAGACTACACCTACTGATACCCTGGGGACATACCACACCCATCCCTACCCAACCCCCAGGGACAAATCACAACCAGCCTTACCCATGGTTAGACTACACCTACCAATACCCTGGGGACATACCACACTAATCCCTACCCAAACCCTGGGTGAGCAATACCAATCTTGCTCTAGGCTAGACCACAACTTCTCACACTCCAGGGACAGACCACACTGATCCCTTACCTAAAACTACACCTACCCACATTTGGTGGATGGACCACACCCATCCTTACCCCAGGGATAGACTAAACACACGTAACCTGTGGGACAGACCACACCCATCCTTACCCCAGGGATAGACTACACACACGTTACCTCAGGGACAGACCACAGCCACCCCTACCCCAGGGATAGACCATACATACATTATCTCAGGGACGGACCACAGCCACCCCTACCCACACTGGGACCTATGTCAGATCCCCCTACCCCAGGGACAGACCACAGCCACCCCTACCACCACTGGGACCTATGTCAGATCCCCCTACCACTAATAAAGAGCAGACCTACCCCTGGGATAGACTACACACCCGTTACCTCAGGGACAGACCACAGCCACCCCTACCCCAGGGATAGACTACACACACATTACCTCAGGGACAGACCACAGCCATCCCTACCCACACTGGGACCTATGTCAGATCCCCCTACCACTAATAAAGAGCAGACCTACCCCTGGGATAGACTACACACACGTTACCTCAGGGACAGACCACAGCCACCCCTACCCCAGGGATAGACTACACACACGTTACCTCAGGGACAGACCACAGCCATCCCTACCCACAGTGGGAACTATGTCAGATCTCTCTACCACTAACACAGCCATCTCTACCCATACTGGGACCTATGTCAGATCCCCCTACCACTAATACACAGCCATCCCTACCCATACTGGGACCTATGTCAGATCCCCCTCCCACTAACACAGCCATCCCTACCCATACTGGGACCTATGTAAGATTCCCCTATCACTAACAAAGCCATCCCTACCCATACTGGGACCTATGTCAGATCCCCCTCCCACTAACACAGCCATCCCTACCCATACTGGGACCTATGTAAGATTCCCCTATCACTAACAAAGCCATCCCTACCCATACTGGGACCTATGTCAGATTCCCCTACCACTAACACAGCCATCCCTACCCACACAGGGACCTATGTCAGATCCCCCTACCACTAACACAGCCATCACTACCCACACTGGGACCTTTGTCAGATCCCCCTACCACTAACACAGCCATCCCTCCCCACACTGGGACCTATGTCAGATCCCCCTTCCACTACCACAGCCATCCCTACCCACACTGGGACCTATGGCAGATCCCCCTACCACTAATAAAGAGCAGACCTACCCCTGGGATAGACTACACACACGTTACCTCAGGGACAGACCACAGCCACCCCTACCCCAGGGATAGACTACACACACGTTACCTCAGGGACAGACCACAGCCATCCCTACCCACTGTGGAAACTATGTCAGATCTCTCTACCACTAACACAGCCATCTCTACCCACACTGGGACCTATGTCAGATCCCCCTTCCACTACCACAGCCATCCCTACCCACACTGGGACCTATGGCAGATCCCCCTACCACTAATACACAGCCATCCCTACCCATACTGGGACCTATGTCAGATCCCCCTCCCACTAACACAGCCATCCCTCCCCACACTGGGACCTATGTCAGATCCCCCTACCCCTAAAACACAGCCATCCCTACCCATACTGGGACCTATGTCAGATCCCCCTATCACTAATACAGAGCAGACCTACCCACACTGGGAGCTATGTCAGATCCCCCTACCACTAACACAGCCATCCCTGCCCATACTGGGACCTATGTCAGATCCCCCCATCACTAATAAAGAGCAGCCCTACCCACCCTGGGACCTATGTCAGATCCCCCTACCACTAACACAGCCATCCCTGCCCATACTGGGACCTATGTCAGATCCCCCCATCACTAATAAAGAGCAGACCTACCCACACTGGGACCTATGTCAGATCCCCCTACCACTAATAAAGCCATCCCTACCCATACTGGGACCTAAGTCAGACCCCCCTACCACTAACACAGCCATCCATACCCACACTGGGACCTATGTCAGATCTCCCTACCACTAATACACACCCATCCCTACCCATACTGGGAACTATCTCAGCCAGCCCAATCACTAATACAGAGCAGACCTACCCACACTGGGCCCTATGTCAGATCCCCCTACCCCTAACACAGCTATCCCTACCCCCACTGGGACCTATGTCAGATCTCCCTACCACTAATACACACCCATCCCTACCCATACTGGGACCTAAGTCAGATCCCCCTACCACTAACACATCCATCCCTGCCCATACTGGGACCTATGACAGATCCCCCCATCACTAATAAAGAGCAGCCCTACCCACCCTGGGACCTATGTCAGATCCCCCCATCACTAATACAGAGCACACCTACCCACACTGGGCCCTATGTCAGATCCCCCTACCCCTAACACGGCCATCCCTACCCACACTGGGACCTATGTTAGATCCCCCTACCACTAACACAGCCATCGCTACCCATACTGGGAACTATGTCAGATCCCCCCATCACTAATATAGAGCAGACCTACCCACACTGGGACCTATTTCAGATCCCCCTACCACTAACTCAGCCATCACTACCCACACTGGGACGTATGTCAGATCCCCCTACCACTAACACATCCATCCCTGCCCATACTGGGACCTATGTCAGCTCCCCCCATCACTAATAAAGAGCAGCCCTACCCACCCTGGGACCTATGTCAGATCCCCCTACCCCCACACTGGGACCTATGTCAGATCCTCCTACCACTAACACAGCCATCCCTATCCACACTGGGACCTATGTCAGATCCTCCTACCACTAACACAGCCATCCCTCCCCACCCTGGGGCCTATGTCAGATTCCCCTACCACTAACAAAGCCATCCCTACCCATACTGGGACCTAAGTCAGATCCCCCTACCACTAACACATCCATCCCTGCCCATACTGGGACCTATGACAGATCCCCCCATCACTAATAAAGAGGGGGGCTACCCACACTGGGACCTATGTCAGATCCCCCTACCACTAACACAGAGCACACCTACCTCCTGTGCACAGTCCTTGTACTGGGCTCTGGCCTCAGACAAATCTGTCTTCAGGTGGTCCACCTCATTCTGCAGCTCAGATCCCTGTAGAAGAAACAATAAGGTTGTTTTACAATACTAGTTCATTGTGTGTGTTTATTGGAAATTTTATTGTAAGCCACTTGCACATCATTCTGACCAATAGTAAGGCTTACCATCATCAAAATGTCCAGTTTTCAATAATTTACTTTAATCATCTTTAAATATGCCATCAAATGACCCAATAACTGAGGAGTACGTTACTTAGATAAGTTATTCTTATTATAAAACAGTATTATGAAATTGCTAACACATGTGGTGCAAACTAGTTTTGAATAGTTGAGGCGATGCTGGTATTTTGCTGTACAAGTACAAATGATATTTCATTCATACCAAAGTATCATTTTACTGTACTCACCTGGTTTTCTGCCCTTTGCTTGGCTCCCTGGAGGTGACTGATTTCTATCTTCATATCTTTGATGTTTGCTTCTAGCTTCTCAATCTGGAAAAGTGAATTTTCATATTCCCTTATTGTCATTTCCATGCCAAAGTCCAGCCCCCCATTTAGGGGCTCGGTATCTCGGGAAATCCCATACCTCTGGTCCATCTTCCTCATTTTCTCCTCAACACTGCGACTGAAATCCATCCTCACGAAATATCAAAACAACACTCTCACAAAGAATCTCTAATTCAGCCACACCGGTAAATATTAAAGCAAAATTCCTAGCTTGTTTTTCGACAGTTTGATTCAATCTATTCCAATGTTGATTGTTTTATTCCAACACTGATCCTTCCGTACCAGAGGGAGTGAGAGTGAGTGTCCAGCAGACTCCCCATAGCCGACCCTGTGTATAGACACTGTCTATATGTAATACATAGCTGGGACACTAACAAGCTGGCTGATCACTCAACCATACACTTTCTTATGTTCAAATCTCGGATGATTTAAATTTACTTAGCAAATAGACATGAAAGCGACACTGTGCTGATATGATCTGTGTCAATAGATTGAAGAATGCCACACTTAGTACGATCCAACGATAACCAATTCTGAATGAGTCCCTGTGACCCCTTGATAGGTCTTTTCAGGTAAAAAGTATCAAGGTTGATCTAACAGGCAAACTGTGTAAAGGTGAATTACAATGTTTTGTATGTTCCTTCACTGATTCAAACTGTGTAAAGGTGAATTACAATGTTTTGTATGTTCCTTCACTGATTCAAACTGTGTAAAGGTGAATTACAATGTTTTGTATGTTCCTTCACTCAGTCAAACTGTGTAAAGGTGAATTACAATGTTTTGTATGTTCCTTCACTGATTCAAACTGTGTAAAGGTGAATTACAATGTTTTGTATGTTCCTTCACTGATTCAAACTGTGTAAAGGTGAATTACAATGTTTTGTATGTTCCTTCACTGATTCAAACTGTGTAAAGGTGAATTACAATGTTTTGTATGTTCCTTCACTGATTCAAACTGTGTAAAGGTGAATTACAATGTTTTGTATGTTCCTTCACTGATTCAAACTGTGTAAAGGTGAATTACAATGTTTTGTATGTTCCTTCACTGATTCAAACTGGGTAAAGGTGAATTACAATGTTTTGTATGTTCCTTCACTGATTAAACCTTACTGACTCTCAATAAGAACTTCTACAAGATAGATACCTTGGGGGTTGGGGTTAAACACTAAACTATGTGAAGATACATGTAAGATGTTTTAGGGATATGTATTGTCGTTTTATCAGGGGTCTTCACTGACAGCAGGATTACAGTGATAACACAACATATCCCTGCCAGGATTCCACTCCAAATGAACACTGTTTGGTCAGACCTCAGCCCACAGAATCCCTAATCCTCTACTCCATATGTACTATATAAACTCCCACAGAAGCACCTGTCCAGACAAATATTGACAGCAATCCTCCGACTTAGGCTGGTTTTCTCGGCTATACATCTGACTAAAACCTGATAACGGAATGACAGATACACACACTGATGGACTGTCACAGAAAGTCTTTGTTGCCCTATGGCATGGCATGTAATTGCCTTGACAACACAAATGAACACCTTGTCAAGTAAAATCCAGCACCAGAGTTACAAAGAGTCAGACACAAAAGTTCTGCTAGGACTCCAGGGGAACCATTGTGAGTTAGTAGCATTATAGATTTCTCACGATAATATCCTCACAGCAGCTAGCCATAAAGCCAACCCTCAAAATGTCCGACCAGCACAGGTATACCAGTCTCCATCTCTCTATATAATGGCTGCAGTATTGATCACAGCTTTACCATTAAAGGAAGTGAAATTAGCCGTTTGGAATGCGAAGAAAATTAAAAACTTAGAGCTACATGCAGCAGTCTACGACTAAATCAATATCATGAAACTGTCTGTAGAATTCTCTACAATACTATCTCTCTCTCTATTGAGAAAGAATCACATATTTTCAAAGAAGCACTTTCGAAAAGGTCAAAACTACAACATGTCCGAAGTCTTGGTTGCATTAATTCCAAATGTTTGGTTGGGCTCTGAAAACTGTCCAAAGTTTGTGCCCGGTCTAACTCCAAGCTTTTATCTTGAGGAATTCCTACATTTGTTCTTCAATGGCCAACACCATGCGTCCCCAACTATCTCCACCTATAGAGTTTCCTCGTTGGTGAATGGGACACCTATCTTAAATCAATACGATAATAGCGTGCTAGCCTGTGAGACCAATGAGTATACATGGTACACCAATCTGATGTTACTCTATAGAGCCGGGTCTAGTTCCACGCGTCACTGCTCCCCTATACCGCCCCCCTTCACATCTCAACGCTACCTAACCCTGCTCCCTAACACACATTTTGACACAGTTCAATCGTGTACTTAGTAATCACATTTAACTCAAGCTAAAGGAGTAAAGATACTTTTTGTAAGGAATTCCAACCATTATGGTGCAATATCAACACCCTGGTGGATTATATTTGACAAAATGTTTCTACATGACCAGATTTGTTATAGACAGGTGAAAGTCCAATTCATACCAAATTCTTTCGCGAATTTTATTTTTTGTGCTCAACTAAATACAGTAACTGTTCTGGTATTACTGCCAGGTGATTTGAGAAGAAAAAAATTATCTGACGAATGATAAATGTTGAATAGAGTATTTAGATAACTTCAAATTAAAGAACTCATAAATACAAATCTGATATCTACATGTTAGTATTCTAACTGATATCTAACTACTCAATGACTCTGTGTTATAGAGTCGTGTGTCCTCTATATCTCTCAAACTATCACCATTGGAAATCTACGTTACCTGTGTTTAATGTTTTACATGTCACGAAACACACAGTGATTTTTAAGAAACAGAACTGAAGACATGACATAGTGGTTGACTGAACGCTCTCAGTACAATAGACGGGAATATTGACCTGATAAAAGTCATCTCTACTGCTGTCCTACTGACACAGGGAGGATTATTACGGGGATAATCCACGTTAATCCGGTTATTGTATTAACACAGCAGTAATTCAATATATATATATTTTCTTTTGGATGATATTCCAATTAAACAATTAGGATTATATATTCCATGAATAAACTAATCAAACTATCGCTCTAATTATAAATACATAACAAATAACACAAAGGGTCAAAGCTGAATGGTCAACATGTAATATTCTATAGTGCATTATCAAAGGTCTTTGAATGTAATCTTTAATCTCGAGCATTTTAGAAAATCTGGTACTAGCAGGATTAGATCTAAATAGGCCGTAAGTCACATAGATAATTGATTGGTGTATGGTCATTCACTGGAGGCTGTGTACTATCTTGATCTCAGTGTTGACTTCTGAACATATCAGTGGACAAATATTGAACAACCTCGAATGCCAGTGGTCAAACGGTCACCAGCGGGATTACAAACAGGATTGACCATTATCAATGGTATGGTTACGTTTAAACCTATTCTAGAAATTCCATTTTGATGAATTATATATTAGGTGTTATCTGGGAAATATCTGCAATTGTACAATACACATATAGGGTACCTAAGGCGCAAATGACACAGGGCAATACTAGTAAATTATCAGCTATATTTATACCTAACAGGAAGTCATAAGGTAAAACAGGTAAACTGTAATTGTTGATATTGACGAAAGTCTTTATTTTGATGTACTAGCTGTCATTCCTATTAAATCAATTATAAACAAAACTATTCCTCACAGCTATAATCACAATTAACAGAATGACCCAACATGAGCTTTGGGATAATTAAAGGAACCTGGTGAACAATATTCCCTCCTAAAATAACAGAATTTTATCTTTTGAAATTCTGCCAACATTTTTTAAAACAGTTTTTGATTATTCATATCATTGTCTACCTACAGTGCCTGGTTGTTTTCTTCAAGAATTCTGTTAATGTCATCGTGTGTACCTTAGCTGTCCTTTTCACACACTTAGCACATAACTTACAGCCATAAGGATTATACAAATGTGTATCACTCGGACCAAACTCACTTTATACTTGATATTTATGTTTGAACATTAAATGTCAGTAAGATATTTTTACACAGCACCTGCAGGTAGGCACTATAACGATAGTTGTCTGTAGTATTCTAGTCCCCCAGGTAGGCACTATAAAGATAGTTGTCTGTTGTATTTTAGTCCCCTAGGTAGGCACTATTTAGATAGTTGTCTGTAGTATTCTAGTCCCCCAGGTAGGCACTATAAAGATAGTTGTCAGTTGTATTCTAGTCCCCCAGGTAGGCACTATAAAATAGTTGTCTGTTGTGTTCTAGTCCCCCAGGTAGGCACTATAAAGATAGTTGTCTGTAGTATTCTAGTCCCCCAAGTAGGCTCTATAAAGATAGTTGTCTGTTGTATTCTCGTCCCCCAGGTAGGCACTATAAAGATAGCTGTCTGTTGTATTCTAGTCCCCCAGGTAGGCCCTATAAAGATAGTTGTCTGTAGTATTCTAGTCCCCCAAGTAGGCACTATAAAGATAGTTGTCTGTTGTGTTCTAGTCCCCCAGGTAGGCTCTATAAAGATAGTTGTCTGTTGTATTCTAGTCCACCAGGTAGGCACTATAAAGATAGTTGTCTGTTGTATTCTAGTCCCCCAGGTAGGCCCTATAAAGATAGTTGTCTGTTGTGTTCTAGTCCCACAGGTAGGCCCTATAAAGATAGGTGTCTGTTGTATTCTAGTCCCCCAGGTAGGCACTATAAAGATAGTTGTCTGTTGTGTTCTAGTCCCCCAGGTAGGCACTATAAAGATAGTTGTCTGTTGTGTTCTAGTCCCCCAGGTAGGCACTATAAAGATAGTTGTCTGTTGTGTTCTAGTCCCCCAGGTAGGCACTATAAAGATAGTTGTCTGTTGTGTTCTAGTCCCCCAGGTAGGCTCTATAAAGATAGTTGTCTGTTGTATTCTAGTCCACCAGGTAGGCACTATAAAGATAGTTGTCTGTTGTATTCTAGTCCCCCAGGTAGGCACAATTAAGATAGTTGTCTGTTGTATTCTAGTCCCCCAGGTAGGCACTATAAAGATAGTTGTCAGTTGTATTCTAGTACCCCAGGTAGGCTCTAAGACTTCAAAGTATCATATTAAAATGAATTTAAATAATATCAAAGGGTGATAACATGTATAAATTTTCCTAAGTTTGTAAAATCAAGGTTAACTTGTTCTAGATAGGTAATACATCTGTATATATATGCTGATCCTGAAAACTGCTATAACAGCAAAAATCCTAATTATGAAGTATCATTGTTATTAGTTAGTATCACACATAAACTCAATTCTTCTGAGAATTGTTATAAACTACTCTGAACCAATCTTTATCAATTCTATTTTCCTCCAAAACAATACTACATACGCTGTATCAGTAGAATGTCATCAAAATATTTCATTCAGTAATTTCATCAACATAGTAATATGTTCTAATTTGTAGTTAAATCATAAACAAGACTTAATATTTAGATAATTGTGTTAGGAGAAATGACAAGACCATTCTATGTGACAGGTATTATTAACAGAACGACCTGGTGGGTCCTCGTCGATAATAACTAAGGCAGGCCGTGTTACATTTACAAGGTCTACTTAACACTGGAGGGATTTCTTTGAGCAGGATATTTTAGTCGACGTTTATTGACACAGGTAAAATAAATTGATGGTAGAGTATGATATTATGCGTGGCTACCTGACACAGGTATGACTACTGTCCCCAGTCAGGTTTGGACATGTACCCCTGCCCATTAAAACACAGGAGGGAAATCTTCATTGACAGCAGGGAAGCATGATCAGACATGCTGCTCATTCTTGGTCACAAATTCTCTCAAAACTGATAGAGTTACTTCCCTTCATCACTTTTATTTTAAAACACAAAAATAATCTCCCTTGTACTTTTTAATGTTTGTTTCTTTATCAATTTGTAAAAAATATACGAACCCCAAACATGTGCTTGATGCAGCACAATCTCCCATTATGCACCTGTCATAAAAGCCCAGGTTTTGCAAAGACAGTATCAATAGGGATTTCAAAGGAGCAAATGATAAATCTGCTGAAGGATTGGTAACAACAAATTCACTACATTTTGATCTCATTGATATTATCATTGTCAGTGATACATTTACATGTGATCTTCAAGTCCTATCATCATACAACTATCATCATACAATTTTGATGGAACACATAGAATTGCTGGAAATACTGAAATTATAATTAATGTACTTTTCATTAAAAAAAATCATCACATTAACAATATCCTGAGAAATTCAACAAAATAAAACACAGTCAAACCTACTCATGAACACCCTATATGAGAGTAAGGTCACTTTTCTTTTTTCCATCTGTTTTTGAATCAATGACTACTTTCAGAAGTCAAATGTTTTTAAAGCTTCCTAGGCTGGTCATTTTATACAGGTTAGACTGTAATAAATCATTGTTTCATTAAGAAATGGAGAATTCATACCTCTTCCATCTTGTTTGCGATGTCACTGCTACAGGCTTTGACCTGAGATTCACTCTGGAGGAGTTGTTCCTGGCGATGGCCCAGCTCCTGTTCGACAGCCTGGCCCCGTGCCTGGATCTGTCGCAGCTCAGCCTCCATGTGAGACAGCTGGTCCTGTAGGCGGTTGGTGTCGGACTTGTGGCGTTGGTGAGATGAGGCAAGGTTCAGCTGCAGCTGCTGGATACTCTGCTCCAGACGATCATTCTGGAAAAAAAAAGATTTATGCCATTCTATCAAAACGACTAATTCATAAAGAATTTCATAACAAACCCAGTGAAATAAGAACTAAAATCTTGATTCTATGAATATTGGTTTGGTAGATGTAGATGTTAAGGCTGTCACAATATATCCAACGAGAGTTCCGCGAGGCGGTACATGATACGCCCGTCAGATGTCGAATGAGCAGTTTGCCACAAAGGGTCATAAGCGTCCATTCTACAAAGCGCCTTACCTGCATAAATAACCGGCAAATAATTTTGCTTATCGAACTTGTCCGAGCTTTCATGGCAATGAACCTTCCTACCAAGTTTGAAATTGATCCATTCAAAATTACTCAAGTTATTGAGCGGAAACTGTTTCAGCAATTTTACAAAGGGCCATTTCTCCGTAAATAACTGGCAAATAATTTTGGTTATCGCAAGCTTTCAAAGAAATGAACCTTTCTATGAAATTTGAATAAATCTATTCAAAATTACTGAAGCTATTGAGCGGAAACTAATGAATGTGTGCCCGCCTACCTGCCTGCCCGCGTGAAAACATAATACAGAAGGGAATCAGTTACAATTTCACAACCATAGGTTGGTTAAACACAATATTAAATCTATGTGATGCATTTCATATATGATTCAGTTCGGAAACATTCCAACAACACTTTCTGTTTAAATTGAGCTCCTTTTTCCACTAACAATATATCGGGACGCGTATCACAATACACTCTCTGTATTGTAATTTATTGTGATACAACCCATGACAACCCTAGTAGTTGTAATATCATGACAGTATAATCATTCCTATCCATTTACCAGCGTAAATGACAGGATGACATAGGAAGTCTACTTTACATACCTCTTTCATGGCACTGTTCTTCTGTTCGCGGACGGCGGCGAGTTCAACCTTGAGATCGTTGATCTGATCCTGTTGGTCAGACATCTGTCTAAGTTTGGCCTGAAGTTCACTCCTTGTCTCTTCCAGGGCCATATCAAGGTGGGCAATCCTGTCCTCCTTGTCAAGGTACTAAAAGGGAGGCAACTCACTCATTACACCTACATATGACTAAATACATGGGTCACATCATTTTGTTTGCAAAATTATAAATAGGCATTTCAGTTTAAAAAAAATGAATTTTCATAAAGATTTTACAGCGACAAACTTTCCACCACAAAATAAAGCATAGTTAGAAATTGAAAGATTGACTTGAATACCATTCATGGATGTGTGTGACTTACCTCCTGATCTGTGTGGCTGTGATCTCCCTGGTATACGTAAAGCTCATTCTCCAGTTTTTTAGCACGCTCTTCATGGGTAAGAGACTAAAAACCAAATAAATTTTCCATTAAAATCAATGATGTTTCCTACATCAAATAAAACACTGATCCATTAAAACGAAACACTGATCCATTAAAACGAAACACTGATCCGTTAAACTCATACTGGTTTCACAGACTTGACAGGCCAGTGCTTACCTCTGACTGGAGCAATGCGTTCCTGTCCTTGAGGTTTTTGATGTTCTCCTCACACTCGTGGACACGGTTGCTCGACATGGACAGTTCGTCCTGGGTGGTGCGCAGCTCGGTTGTTAGCTGCTCAATGACCTCCTCAAACTTATTGACCTCGTGTTTTGTGTCGCTGTACAAGGCCTCTATATTTTCCAGCTCATTCTTCAGTGTCTCTAACTGATGTTCCTTCTCCAGCTCCCGCTTACGGCTCTCGGACAGCTTGTCCTGGTGATAAAATTCACAAAAGATCAATAAAATTTAATGTCACTAATTATTTGAAATGATAAAGGTGTTAAAATTTGAAAGTTTGTACCTGTATAACAAATTTATTAATTTATAATATTTCACCTATAATAGATTTGTAAATTGTTACTTGCAATAAGGATTTTTGTTACAATTTTAAGTTTTTAATCACATAAAATGTTAGAGGTATTTCAAAGAATAATAATGTTGCAACATGTTTAACATGTACATTGTTTGTGCTTAAAGTAAAACTTTGATATTACGTTAATTATTCAGGTATTTGTGGATATATCCCAGTAATAAGCTTGGTCTAAACTGCCACTCACCTGAAGAGTTTTGACAGTTCCCTCTAAATGTCCGACCTCATTCATACTCTTGCCATACTTCTGTTTGAAGCTGTCCAGCTCTGATTCTAGAGCATGGCCTTCCTCACGACTGCTGTCTAACTGGTCCTCCAGTAGGATGATCTGCTGACGGGACTCGGCCAGAGATACCTCATGTTCATGTAGCTTGTCATTCTGACGCTTCATCTGTAAATAACATATACTTCCTGTCACACTGATCAGAAGCTTGGTTCAGCCTTTGGAATCCTAAAATCACACACTGTATGATCACCCCAGCTTATCAGTTATCATATCTTTACCCATTTATTTTACTTTTTCTATAAACAGTTCCAACAAACTATTACTTATAGTTGATATCATTGCAAATAGTAGAACAAGATTTGTTACTTATTTTTAGATAAACTGTACCTTTGTTCTAACCCTCCATCATAATAGGGCTGTATATCTGCTCCCATCTCAACCACTCTGACCCTCTATATCAGCCCCTTCCTACTCCAGCTTGTGTCCCTTGCCTTAACTTGCCCTAGATCTGCCTGCCCCTCCATCCCTGCTACTCCCTCCCATCTTTATGTCCCCTTGTATAGTACACTGTCTGCCCCCCACCCCCATGTCTCCCAAGTATGCCCTAAGTCCGTCTACTACCTCGATTGAAGTATCATCCTGCATCCTCTTCATCCTGTCAATTTCGTCGTTGAGTGCCATGATGGTTGTCTTGTGGTCCAGGTTCTCCTTCTGTCCGTCACTGTTCTGGTTATGTGTCATTTCAAGTTCCTCGCGCACAAGGTCCATATCCTGTTGGATCCGTTTCACTTCCTGTTCGTGACTGCTCCTGGCTAGCTGGAGTTCCGACTTCAGCTGCTCTATTGTTCGTAAGTGGTTTTTCATCTGAAAGGATTAAAGAACAAACATTAGACTCAGTTCTACGTCAGACAGGAACAAAGGCCCTCACACCGAGCTTTATGTAACTACTTGGGTAAATTCTAAGTGTAACATATACCCACGAATAATTTGGATTATTGTTAGTTCTAATGGATGTACTACATGTTTTATTTTGAAATTTCGATTTTCGTATCGTCAAGTTAAATAATTTTGTTAATTTTAACCATACCAAAACATCAGTAGGTAATGAATGGAGAGCCAGAAATAGATTACTTCCACAAGAAAACCTGATCTATAAACAATTAACAATAATGACATGGTTAGTACTGTACATAAAGGGAGAGAACCCTATATTAAAGACAATGTATAATAAACATGCAAAGACTAAACTGTATATGTTAATTTTATCATGAAAATAACAAGAGGCCCATAGGGCCTGTATGGCTCACCTGGATATCTAAGCAATCATGGCAGAATATTCTCCAAATGAGATCCATGGGAATATGCCAGACCTCAAGGCCAATCCTTGTAGCATATATATCTGTATTCAATTTTTCATGCCCAGCAATTTTATGTATGGTTATGGGGTGGGGATCTCAAATGTTTCCAATCTGTGACTCAGAAACTAGGTCCCTACGGTTGTGGCCAGACCCCAGGATCAATTCAAATATCATGACTGTATTTGTCTCTTTATGCCCAACAATTGTATATATAGTTTTGGGGTGGGGATCTTAACCATTTCGAAGTTATGACCCAGGGGTTAAGTCTCCAAGGGTGGGGCAGTCCCCAAGGCCATCCTGGAAGCATATGTGCATTCATCTCTTTATACTCAGCAATTGTCTATATGGTTACAGGTCAGGGATCTCAACTGTTTCCAAGCTGTGACTAAGAAACTAGGTCCCTAGGGGTTCGGTCAGACCCCAGGGTCTATTCTAATATCATGACTGCATTCGTCTCTTTATGCCCAGCATTTGTATAT